GCAGATGATCGCTCTGCTTGAGAGCGGTACAGTCAACAACGGTACTTACACAGGAGGCATTTCTGTGCCGACAGGTCGGCTTTCAGTGGGTCCTCTGCCTTCTCCCCACCTCAGAACTTCAGCCAGTGTACAGAAAAAATATCTACGTTTTTATGTATTTATGGATTTTTATGCTTTGCAGCTGCCAGGTTACCCAACTCAAGTGAAAAGTTAACAAATCTGTTTATAGCGAGAGGGCACAGGTAGTTGCAGCTGTATTTTGTTCTGCGGCATCGACATTAAACACAGCTGTTTGTCACTGAGATAGGCAGCGGTGCCTCCTAGCAGGTTAAAGGCAGATACACTGAACGGATAATAGCTGTAACATGCAAATTCTGTGTGTTTATATTTGTGTATATATATGTGCGCGTGTGTGTATGCATGCGTGTATAGATAGATACGGCTACACCCTAAAACCGAGCTTTGAACAGTACGGACTGGAGCAAGGCACACACCTGGCAGGGAGCTCTACGCAATTAAAACTGACCATGTTTTTAAACCCAGCACTTTCAGAGACTTTCATAAAGAGAAGATGAGGCACCTGCCTCATGAGTCTTTTACTCATGTGAATAATCTCACTGACGTCAGTGGGTTTTTTCACTCACGCGTGAAGGTGTTTTCAGGCTAAGTCATGTCTATTTTGGAGAGTCTCACATTAGCTAATTCTAAGATCAGGACTTGGCTCTTTGTTGAGGTGGTGAAGTTTGCAAGCCTATATTATTACTGGCTTTCCAGTCCAGGTGTGCAGAGTCATGAAAATGTAAGGAATGATATTACTCAAGGTTTGATTAACAGCGTTTCCAAAGACAGTAGTAAGGGCTCCAGGTTTTTCCATGCAAGAAATAAATAAAGTGACTTTGTTATACTTGGGAAGTGATGACAGCCATTGCAGATTATCGATGAGATAGACTAAGCCTAGCAAAGCAACCTGTATGACTGATTTCTGCTCTCACATAGACCAGTACGACCTGAAGATACTCCATGTGACACCCATGCCATTAATCCTGGTTAATGGAAATAAAATCAGAATATAACTGGATATATTGTGTTTAAAGACATGATACTGAGATAAACAGCTGATGCATATACCTGAGTCCTTTCCTGACTGATAACCTCGGAACATACAAGGTCTATGTATGATCTATTTTCTACGCATGCCAATACTACTGAGTGTTGAGTCGACATGAAGGAGTTTATCCTTAACTCTTCCTGGAGAAATAGGGGAGTATGCAAGTATTATTCTTGTTTTACAGGTGCAGAATTGAGGAATAAATTTGCATGATTTGTTGCAAGGGTAAACAGAATTCTTTACTAAAGGGGCAAGACCAGAAATAGAAACCAAATCTCTGCTTTTGCAGCAAATGGAAAGTTAACGGTCTTGGTCCCTCTGCCTTCCAAATCACGCTGAGCTGGGGGCAGGTGGGAGCACGCCGGCAGCGTTGTAATGCTTTAGATCTTGTAAAGATACAGTCTGTGGGTTCTGTGTGCTGAGATTGGCTCATCTGCTGCTGTCAGTGTTTCTGTTTTGAAACTTCATTTACCACAGCAGAAACCACACTGGGAGGAGGGAAATTTTTTTTTTTTTAAAAAAATAATTCTACAAAAAACCACGTTTGCGTGTTACTAGTTTAAACATTTTTTAATGTAACAGACAAATGCATGACTCTTGCTGCTTTAAAATGTGCTCGAGGAATAGAAATGTTTTTAGGCAAGGATGGACAAATGTCAAAAAGTACAGGCAAACAAAAAACTATTCAGAAAACCAATGGAAGTAATTTCCCTTGGCTGTGATGAGCTGGCTGCCTCCGGCCGGTTCAATTTGGTGACTATGGATTAGCCTGATAAGCAGGATACATTTTAAAAACTTTTAAAGAAAAAAGGTATGAAAAGTGAGCTATTAGGGACATTTTTAGCTCTCCTGCACCTGATTCAGCAGTACCCTTGTGAAATTTATTACTACAGAGTGTGAAGCCAGATTTATCAGATAGTATAAGAAGGCCTATCAAAATGGGGCTGGCAGTGACCTTAAGAGATCAGCCAGTCCGTCCCACTACCCCTAGGCAGGATCAGCTAAATTAGTGTCATTTCTGGCAGATGTTTTTCTAATCTGCCCTTTGAAATATCCATCCAGCAACTCTCCCAGGTGAGCCATCCTCACATCTCGCTCCTCTTCCCACAAGGGTTACTCCCAATGCCTCCTTTCTTGTTGAAACCAAACTCTGTTCCTTTTCCTCCTTGTTCACGGTGGCCATAGAGGACAGATTATCCCTCTTATGTAGAGACTTACCGTGTTCCCCACCACTCTCCCTGGACAAGGTGCATCTCTGGTAAGTTTAACTGCCGAGAGAGCAGAGATCAAGGCTGAGGGCTTGACCACCATCTCCACTGGAGGGAGAGAGATGCACCCAGTCTGGTCCATCCGAACTGGAGCGGTGAACCAACCTACAGAAGAGTTTATCTTCCTCTGCTCTTTATGACCGCTGCAAAGTAGATGCCTTGCTCAGAGCCCAAGTTGCCAGAGACAAATCTCCTCCTCATCTACTGCTGTTTAAAGGCTAGAATTTTTTTAATCTTTCCTCCAGAGCTTTTTGGACCATGCAGTATATACTGTATTCTCCTCCAGAGTCTGTTTTATTCTCAAATCTCTCCTTGTTGGGCTTTTTAGTTTTGCCTCTCATTGTTTTTTAATGAGAAGCCTTTTATGGCTTTGATTCCCAACAATCTGAGAAAATACCTATGTTGTATTTCCTCCTACTTGGGAATTGCAGAAGGTTTGTTTGTGCCTCAGTCCCTCCCTCCCTTTCTACATGGATTGCCTGTTTGCCTTTCTCAGGGCTTGGGCAGAATTGTTTGACTTCTGATTTTATTTTATTTTATTTTTTAAATCTCTTGTTCACAGTTATTGACTATGCAGTTGATGGATTTCCTGTGGTCTTACACACTTTAGTGCTGGGATGTGGCACAAAGAATGAAACTTGATGCATGGATGATTTCTCGTAGTCCGTGTAATGCTGGGTTTGATTTGTTCTTCTTAGTAGCATGCACATTAGTGGTTTAGGAGCTTCTCTCTTTTACTGAACAGATGTTGCAAATTTTAGGCTGTTTTCTTGGCTCTCACCGGCAGCTTCATCTTTACATTTGGATTAGTTTCACTTAAAGCAGTTGCAGAGGACATTTATTTTGGGGGAAATCAAAACCTTTTATTTTCTAGGTTCTGTATCTCCCACTTAGAAGCAAATGTTAAAGTAAGGCAGATTCCTGGAGGTCTCTTTCTGCTGCTTTCACATCCTCTGGCATCCTGAAACTTTTTTTTATTTCATTATAACTGGGTTTATAGTTTGATCTCTTACAAGATGACTGTCATTGAGCATTTCTGTGTTCAAGGAAATGGGACTTTCTACATATTTTTGTAAATAAATAAGCTTGCCCTAAGCTATACCTGATGAAACTTGTTCCCCAACCAGAAAAAATTTGAAAGCCACTGAACACTAGCTAAGTGCTAGAGATAAGAGAGCAACATTAGAAATACCCTCCATAAACAGCTTTATGATCTGAAGATACAGATGCAGGCATATACCAGAGTTTTTGAACATTAAGATACAGCTAGAGGCTTGGAAAACCCAGAGTTTCCACTGAGACAGTTTAAAGTAATTGTTCTCTACGGAATTGCAAGGAGATTGTTTTAATAAATGTATTGACGAGAAAAGCTTTTACTGTTTGGCTCAGACAGCTAGAAGTCAGCAAGTTGTGACTTTTACTTACAAAAGCAACTATATGTTACATATACACGAGGATGAACACTATTACTCTAGTAATAGTGAAATACACTACAAAAAGTCCTTACGGTCTGCTTACGGAAGTAACAAAGGTCAAAGACTATTAATTCAGACAGGTTCCCACTGTTCGTGTTAACATGGTTTATTTCCTTCTTTCTTTGTCTCTTTTTGTTATCTTAAAAACTAGAATCGCATCCCTGGAGGAAGAGCTTAAAGGGTTTTGAAAAGTCCTGAAGAACCACAGAGTCCCTTTTTCTCTTCCCCATTATGCTCTCGTGGCCACTCGGAAGGAGAAGCTCCTTCCCAGCAGCGGCAGCTTCGGGACTGGTCTCAGGGTTGCTCCCGTGGGTACAGCTCTCGTGGCAGGAGGTGCTGGGGATTGAGTCACAACCTGGAGTTTGGGATTTTGCCCCTGGGCCCATGGGCCTCCGTTTTGCAAGCAATTTAGCAATGTGAGCATCTCCATTAAATTTATTAGATTAGGAGTGTGCATTAGGAAGACGTGAAACTGGGTTCTTAAGAGCCACAGACTCGCTTGTCTGTTCGTGTCAAAAACTGGTGCAACAAACAGCAGTTTAGATGAGTGACCTAACAGTAGGTGTTCATTTTTGACTTTCTGGAGAATCAACAGGGATGATCAAATGTTGCTGGGGCTATTGTGATCATCCAGCGTGAAGTCATACTTCTATTTGTAAAGCTGTGTTTGCAGTACAGTCCACGTGTCTTTTTAAAAATACCTCGTTTGATTTTTAAAAGTTCACTCAGCTACAACAAGATTCTACTGAAGCATCAAGGATGTTTTTACAATTTCCATGGTTAAATTGTTCTGATATTCAATACCTTTACAATTTAAAAAATGTGTATCTCTTCCAGGCCGAACTTTTCTAGCTTTAGCTTCCAGTCCCTGGATATTTCCATGCCAATGTCTGTCATAACTGGCAAAGCCATTTTTTCTAGAGAAAAAACACACTCTTACAGATGGAATTGGGACTGCAGTAGCTAGGGACACTTTTCAAAAAACTGAATTTCCATGGCCAACAACCTTGTGCTTTTAATGATAAGAAAGGCAGTATATAGAATTTTATGGCTTGTTTAAAAATAAGTATCTTTTTTGGTTAACTTGGAAGCATATATATTTGCAGATTCTTAATGTATGTTGTTCCTTTCATATTTTCGTTCTCAGGAGAGCTGTATTGTTCTTTGCCCAGCCCTAGGAATGTCCATTTTAAATCTATAAACATGAAGAATGTCCTTCACTGGTCAGCACCAGAAGGCACAGGAGATGGAGTACTCTACAAGGTGAAGTATTCAGTGTAAGTTAGCTTGTTTATTTTATCCCTTACTGACTTTTATTTTAGCATCTGAAATAATAATTTTTTAAAAAATCTTTAAGCAAGATAGGGCTGCTAAAAAGTAAAGAAAGCAGAACTAAAATGTGGGTTAGACTTAAGCGGTATGGTTTTAACTTTTACTTCTGGTACTGCTTACTTCAGATCCAGGTAAAAAAAAATTATAAGGAGAATTTCTTCCTGTGAAAGAAGTGTAGGATGCAACATGGAAGCTTTCAGAGGCATTCCTGAGAAATGAGACAGAAGGATGAAGAAGGACTGTGCTGTGGATTGGCATCCGCACATATTAGCCTTCTGTACACATTTAAATGGATCTGGAGATGTAGTGTTTAACAGAATATTAACAGCACCCAGTGTTTCTAATGGACCCAACCCTCACAGATTTCTTCTGACCCCGCAAGCCTCTCTAGTCTCGGAGAAAATCCACTGAAGTTATCAAGTATCGTAGAAAACCAAGTAATGTGATTGGAATCAGACCGTTATATTTTCAAGGTCTTCACCTTTGTAGGATATCAAGGAATTTGAGTGAGGACCAGAATCCATTTCCTTTATTCCCACCAAGAGAGCACTGGGTCATTCTGAAGAACAGTGCTAGAAGTTTAGCTTACAAATAAGTGTAGCACCGTTGTCATGAATGATGTAATGCTCCCAACCTTTACCTCTAATATTTACACTGCCCTCGATCTCGTAATGTTTTCTTGACACTAAAACAAGTTTAAATCTCCAGAAGCTTCCTGTAACTTGAACTGGCTACTAAAAAAAGCAACAAGTTGCTTCTACAGTCAGAGACTGCAACCTCTTTTGCTCAGATCTTGCCCTCTGTGCTAACAGAGGAGTGACATAGTCCACCTCCTAGGAAAGGGGAGAGTGCTCAGCAATTACGGGATAAACAATAATTGTGTAGAAGGTCAAATGCTCAGAGAGCACCAGCTACGCTGACTCCACAGGGTCAGCTGGTCCACGGCAGACTCTGTAGCCATAGGTCACATCTTTCACACTGAATACAAAAATATTCATATGTGCCTCTACCTACCTAGCAGAGCAAGGCCTTGAGCTAGGTGGAAAACGCTGGTGAGTGATACCATCCTGCAGTCACGTAGAAGTTGCCACGTGCCCTTACTAATTAGCAGCTAAAGGGGAATTCTTAATAACGTGAATTTGAGGAGCAGGAGCTTCTGAGCAAATCCAGGCAGGAATTTTCCAAGGAAATCTTGATTTCTTCAGTGTGTAAGAGCTGGTCGGTACTGAGGCGTCGTTGGTAGCAGGTATACACCTCTTTCAACTAGGAGGGTTTTGAAGTTCATTGTATTCCAATGGAGTCTTTCTTTTAAACTAGAGAAAGAAGTAGCACTCAGTGATGAGTAGTCTCCTGTCCACTCATCTTGGAGACCCTGAGCATCATCTGTCTCTGTACACCAGTATGAGCCACTGACCATTCTGACAGAACTCTTTGTCTCTATATAAATAGTTATCCTGGCTCTGTATCATGTGTTTACAGTTTAATCTAAAGCTGTGGAGAATGAATTTGAGAGATCTCTGGTGTGTGCAAGCAAAACTGGACTTAGATTGGTATCAGTAACATCCCAGTTAGTTCATATGGTTTCCTCTGGATAGGGCCTACTCTGATTTATTTTTCATTAAAAACTCATGGAAATCTTGTGTTTTATCTCAGCTGAAGTTGGGATATCTTTGAAATTGCAGATTTCTGCAAAACAAGCAATCTCTTTAATCAGCCGTAATATCAGTTTCTGTGCTGTATTATCAGGTGACTACTGTCATGGCAATAGCTTTTGTACAGCTCCTTTCTCTTTCTTTTTCAATATAGATATGGTGTTGGCAAATGGATTAGAAAGCCAGAATGCAGGAATATCAACAGAACATGGTGTGACCTCTCCAGCGAGACCTCTGACTATGAAGAACAATACTACGCGAGTGTTAAAGCCTTCCTAAATGGGATGTGCTCTGACTGGATGGACAGCACACGATTTAACCCTCTTACAGACAGTAAGGAAAGCTAATCACACAGCCAGATGTTCAATGGCTTTGATTAATACTGTGTCCTCAGACTGCATGTGCCTTCATAGCATATGATATTTTAATTTTAACGTGAGGTTAGATTTTTTTTTTCAGTTGTCTCATATTTATGCTTTTGGCAGAAGTAATTGACATAATCATATTAGAATTTGAATATATATGTGTTGTACATACGGTCATATATATGTGTTATACATACGGTCTTATATATGCTGAATACTCTTTTATGCTATGGTAAAGCTTTACTCGAGGCAAATAAAAGCTGTCGCACATCCACAGTATAAAGAACTCTGATTTTGAAAAGACTCTATTAAACCAAGTAGTAATCATACTCTAGAGCACAATATCTCTTATCTGTGCCAGATAATCTGAGAACATAATGGTAATTTAGCTTGGTTTAGCAAATTGAGTTTCAAGGTTGTTTATCCTGCGAAGTCACAGGAATTCCTAGGCAAAATTCCAAGTCAGTGTTCACCTTCTGACCATAAAGATCCTCTTGGTTATCTGATAAAATAATTTTCTGCCAATATAAATGAATTTTTCAAAGTCCTACTTAGACTCCCCAAAATATTACAAAAATTTAATATCATCCACTTTAAGAAACTGCATGGTCAATCAGTGTGCCTCTGCTGCATTTGACTGCTTTTCGTACATCTTCATTTTTCCAGCTAAAATTGATCCACCCATGGTAAATGTATCTTCTACTGAGAAATCTATTTCAATCATTCTGACTGCTCCTGAGAAGTGGAAGAGAAGTCCTGAGGAAGAATCCATCTCTCTGCTTCAAGTGTATCCTGGCTTGCAATACAACGTGTCTGTCCTCAACAAAAAAACAAAGAAGCGGGTAAGCTTTGACAAGGCTGTAGAACTGTACCTATTACATCTGTGCTCTGTGCTTCTTGAAATGCACTTTGTCCATAACAGCAAGGATTGAAATAGGATTCATAGCCTTATGGGAATTGTAGGATCGTTCAGGTTGGAAGGGAGCTTGGGAGGTCTCTAGTCTGAAGTCCTGTTCAAAGCAGGATCAGCTGTGAGCTCAGACCAGGTCGCTCAGGGTTTGTCCAGTTGCATCCTGAAAACCTCCAAGGATAGGGACTGCACAACCTGTTCCACTGCTTGACTTTCGTCTTAGGGAAAAAGTATTTCTTGATATCCAATGTGAACCTCTCTTTTTGAACTTATGTCCATTCTGTCTCATCCTCCCACCATTCAGCACTGTGAAGAGCCTGGCTCTGTCGTCTTGACCTCCCTGGGTCATCCTGGGGGCTGCCATGAGGTCCCCCTGAAGCCATCCCTTCTTCCCCAGGCAGAACAAACTCCAGTCCTTCAGCCTCCCCTCGCAGGGCAAGCACTCCAGCCATCTTGGTGATCCTCTACTAAACTCCCTCCAGCTTGTCAGTCTTTTCTGCATTGGGAGGCAACAACACTGGACACGGTATTCTAGATGTGGTCTGATGAGCGCTGAGTGGAGGGGGATAATCCCTCCCTTCCACCTGCTCCCTCTTCTCCTGTTCACACAGTCCGGGATGCTGCTGGCCTCCTTTGCTGTGAGGGCAGGTTGCTGTTCATGTTCAGCTTGCTGCCTGTCCCCAGGCCTCTTCAGCGGGGCTGCTCCCCAACCAGTCAGTCTACTGACAATGCTCGCAATATGTCATGACAAAGTGCATCTTTTGTCACCACATCCGAACATCTTCATTTCTCTGTCTCTGCAGATTTACATTTCATTAGCTAGGAGTAGTTCCCAGCATAAACACAGTAGATGAGGAAGAGTTCAGTGATCAGTTACAAAAACACTCGTTCTTCTGTTCCCGTCCTCCAGGCATAATCTGTCTGGCAAATCTCTGAATTTCCTGAAAAGAGACAGAAACTTTACCCAAAAAAGGTCACCTTATGTCAAAAGGGATATTAAAATGCCAAGATTAGCAATTAGAGGTAGTTGGGTTTTTTTCATAGAGATGCTTGACATATAGCGATTACTTTACTTTGGAGTTCAAGGTCTATATAACACCCATTATTTTAAGGGTATTATCTTTACCAGAACATCTCAGTTTGAAAGATTTTGTGCAACTGTATTATGGACCTTTCATTCACCTGTGTGTTGGGACAGGGCTGGAGTGATGCTTTGTTGCAACATCAGCATGAGAATGTGGGCTGGTGGTGGCACATGATCCTACTTCACATAAAGCATGAAAGTGTTAAGTAGTGGTAGAAGAATGATTGAATGGGAGATAAAATATTCAGAGAGGACGTGACCTAATAAATAACTTGAATTTTGATTGCATTCAGAAAAAAAGCATGCAGCTGGCAGTTCTTACAGTATTCTTATTCTTTCTAGAAAATTTGTGTGGTTGCGACACATTTTGTATATAAGCTCTTTACCTTTCTGTAACTGAAGAGTTAAAGGGGGAAAAAAAAAAATTTTTTTTTTTATATCTTCCAGTGGTGGTTCTCCATCAGCAACAACACTTTGGTTGTGCCCTGGTTAGAACCTGGAACAGCTTATTGTGTCAGCGCACAGATACATGTCACCACACCACTTTTGCACAGTGGGTTCTCCAAAGAATATTGCATTGCTACCTTGAAAGGTACGTGTAAGCCAGCAAAGTACAAAAAGAAGATGCAAGTTAGAGAAAATCACGGTGACTGAGTTTGTAAGTTTTTTGTGTATCCATTCTGAGAGTGAAAGCTAGCATTGTTTCTCCTCTCCCTGTGCATTTGTACCAATGAAAAAATCTTTGTCTTTAATAAAACATAGCTGGGATCTACCTTTCTGGAAGGTACATCAGTACCTCTGAAGAAAAGGATCTGCATTCTTTGAGTCTTAGTGAATGGAGACTATTTTTTCTCCTTGAATGAGGTTTGGGAGTGGCAGAGCTGGGTCAGTCTGAAGTTAGCAACAGGAGAACCTGAGGGAGGGGTTGTTACTTCTTTTTAGAATTTAGTTTACAATTTAGATAATAGTAAATGTGGTGAATGCACACAGTACTATCTGAATGCATTAAAAAGTCAGTCGGTACAATGACAACTTCTGTTTTCTTAACAGATAAAACAGCAGATGAGACTATAACAATCGTATTTGGATGTGTTCTGCCTGTCACGCTGGCTGTCCTTTTTATTTCAATGACATGCTATTGTGTGCACAGGTATATTCACGTCAGCAAACAGAAACATCCAACAAACCTGGTAAGTGTTCTCTGTCACAGGAGGTCATTGCCAGCCTTGGTGCTCACAGCAGAGCTGTGTGTTTTCCGAGCCTCCGAGTCAGCTGGGAGGAAACCATGGCTAGCTGCAAATAAAAGCTCTAGTTGCCACTCAGATCAAGAAAAGAACATCACATCGAGGGTAATTAAATGCAAGAAAATGCATTTAAGTGGGAAGTGTCATTGCCATAAGCAAGGTCTGAGGTGCACTGAAGCAAGGTCTGTTAGGAAGTCAGCACTTCCTAAATTTATCTAGGAAGAAGCACTGTAGAGATTCAGTGAACAAAACTTATTAAGCGGTTGAATTCAGAAACAAGAAGGGAGGATAATTAAGCAGTACAGAAACCCCATGATGTTTTCTTGGACTATTACTGGGTATTACCAGTTTTTGCCACTTAATTGTGATTGTGAAGGATTTATCACGTGTGTATCATACAGATAATTTAATCCGGACTTCAAGAATACTTTCAAATACTGCCCCATTTCCTAACACCCAAAAATGTATGAACAAACACATTCCGTTATTTAGACAGCCTAAATACACTTTCTACATAAAAATGTTTGCAAGTTTCTTAGAGCTGCAAAGTTTGTAAATTTTTAGAAAGAACACATAAAGTCTAAGAAATGTTACTGGCTTCCAGCTCATGAGCCCAGCAGAGCTTTCTCACAGCTATCTCTAAACAAGTTGCTCAACCATAAACACGCAATTACAATAATGAATGAACACTTTGATGTTAATCCAATCTGCGTGACACCGTGGGATGGGAGGTATAAGGGAGTTGGTTTGAACATGCTGATCTTTCTGAAGAAATCCATAGCAGCACAGAGGTGATAGGAGAAATGTTCCCAGAGGGACTGGGGGTTCAGAAGGAGTAGAGCAGCGACTGCCGCAGTGTGTTCAGACTGACGAGGTGCACTTGATGAGGCACCAGCTTTATCACAGAATCATGGAATCAGAGAGTAGTTTGGGTTGGAAGGGACCGTCAAAGGTCATCTCGTCCAACCCCACTGCCATGGGCAGGGACATCTTCCACCAGACCAGTTACTCAAAGCGCCATCCAACCTGGCCTTGAACACTTCCAGGGATGGGGCATCCACAGCTTCTCTGGGCAACCTCTGCCACTGCCTGCCTACCCTCAGAGTAAAGAATTTCTTCCTTACATCCAGTCTAAATCTACCTTTTTTCAGTTTAAAACTGTTGCACTTTGTCACCACAGGCCGTGGTAAAAAGTCTTTCTGCATCTTTCTTGTTCTTTATTCTTTATCCTGGGACACAGGGCATGGTAGGGGGAGATAGCTTGGTCTCCATTGGAGAGCTAGCAGGACAGAGCTCTTTACAGTCCAAGAACGTAAAGGGCTACTTAGTGAAAAATTCCCACTCAGTAGCAGACTAAACTCCAAATCCAGGAGATTTTTCTCTAATAAACATAATTTGTATATTGGTGGTTTTTTTAACGTCCATTGCACTTTTTTGTGACAACCTTGAAGCTTCAATTTGATTTCTCCACCTCTGAATTCAGTTGATGTTAAGGTAACAAAGGAATACAGACCTGGTATTTTAATGCTGCTCTCTGGCTTTCCCAACCTACAGACTATTCCATGTGGGCACCCAGTGTGGTCAGGGGGAGGTGGAATAAGCAGTTTGTTTCGGTCCAGCACTTCTGACCTGGGGGAGCCTTCAGACTACCTGATACATCAATTAGTGGTCTTAGTCTTCCATTCAAGCTTGAAAGCACTGAAGTGCAGCTTCTGGCTGTTGTTTTTCTATTGCACTTTTGTTTAGTGACTGCTTAGACAGTATTTATTCCTGTTAGAAATATTACTCATTTCAGAAAAACTCCTATTGTTTAACTAGATGATTTATCACAGTCACAAAAGCGGCCCGTGACAGACTGCACAATGCTGGCTTCATACACTGCACTTCAACCTGATGTATAGCCTCCTCTCTGAAAGGAAACCTGATGCTATTTAATTCTCTTAATTAGCTATACCTTAACATGGTACCTGACTCTGTGCTTGTGGAACATGGTTTTCACTGGGCTTCCTCTTCACTGGTGAAAAAGAGTGGAATAGATTCTGTAATCTGAGACCCAAGGACAACTCTGATGTTTTCTCCAAAGTCACTTGAGTTTATGCTGGTGAAAACAAAACCAGAATTGGACAGAGTTGCTCTAACCATTGTTTTGACAAGGAGAAGATGAGAAAAGGGATATTAGAGCTGGTCATGATACAGTTTTACTTCAGATAGAATAAAGTGGAGCATATTAACACTCCTGGAGGTTTATATGATGAACTTCCTTCTTCCCTAAATTGAAATAACCTCCTAATAAGGTCTAGCCTGGCCTTATATTTGAAAAATATACGACAGCATAAGAAGCAGCAAGACGGTATTTTTATTAAACTTCACTCAAATAAAAATATTTCTTTGCTTTCCAGGTATGGCACTACACTGACAAATGCAAGGAAAAGGTTTTCATACCATATGAAAAAATAATGGTCAACCTTATCACTGTTAACGTGGATGAGTACAAGCCATGTCAGGAATCCAGTCATCTACCAGAAAGGAAAAGTCCCCATTATTACACCGTTTACAATGGCACCGAAGGGAAGGATATGCCTTCAAAAGAAGTGCTGGAAACAAAACACTTGCTTGATATTTCACATGAAGAGATTTCACGCGAAGAGGATATTTTAGCGGAAGGGGACCAAACTGGGAACTGGCCATCTTATGGCCAGCCTGGAACAAAGAATACTTTGAGACAGCAAAGTGCAGGGACTGTAGAGTATGAACATGATGTAAGGGCTGAAGACTTCAGTCCTGGTCAGAAACCAGAAGAGAAGTCTTCTTCCCCCAGGGGACTACTAGGTGAGCCACAGATTGCTTTGGGGGACTTGGTTAGTATGAAAACAGGACAGGCATATTGCCCCCAACTAGAGGTGAGGGCAGCAGACCCTTCTTTGGGACAGAAAATAGAGGAACTTGATTTGAAGGTGGTTGATGCAGCAGATGAATTGCCCGGTGAGACCCATCTCAACTTGGTGGACTTGGATACTGAAAAATCTGGGCAGACATCCTATCCTCAGCTGGAAAAAATAGCACAGGACCTCATGGAGAGAGAGGGTGAACAGACCATATTAGTAGATTGGGATCCTCACACGGGAAGACTGTATATTCCCACCTTGTCCAGTGTTGAAAATCAGGTCTGTGAAGGAGTATTCAAGTGTGACAATCCTGACAAAGAGGGAATTTTGTCCAGATTGTATGAGAAAGAGGTATCTGATGAATCATCAGAGGACCAAGAAATGTATCTCCTGCAATTCAAGGAACAATGGGGACTGCATGTAGAAATGGAAGACTGAACAGTCATTTTCTAAAATATTCTAAAATGCAAGATCTTGTTTACTTTGCCAAAGAGAGTGATGGACTCAGTGGAGCAAACATGTATTGAAGTTTTCGGAACCATCACAGTTGAATGACTTATTCATGATATGTTATTTATAACAGTTTCCAGATGTGACATAAGTGATTTTGATTTCCATCATAAACCTCTCAGGTAAAATGTGATGGTTATGAGATTATCTGCTTTGTAAAAAAATATGTATTTTTATACAGGATGCTGTTAGGATTTTCACATTGTAATTCCTACCAAAACAAATTATCAGTGTTTGAAAGCAGTTATTTTTAGCAAATAAAAGCAACGGTACGACATTTTGCTGGGCTATTTCATGTATCTTGACACAATGCAGACTCTTCTAGGTCTCACTCCTGCAACTTGTAATAGTTTGAGCTGACTTCTGTGGAAATTAAGGGCATGCCAGTGTGTATTTTGTTTCTAGTTCATAAATATTCTTCTTCTAGTTAATGAAGTTCTTATTTATTTCTTTTGAAAGAGTTGTCTGAGATGCAGGATCCCTTCCATACTGTGCCACGCAGATAGGAAGCCAGCAACAGTTCTTTTGGTGGGTGTGCCTACAAGCTCAACAGACGTAAGGGAGAAGAAAGCAAGCATTAGTCATATTTTAAACTGAAGGAAAATGTAGCACAAAGGGATTCAGTGAAATGCCTGTAATCTTACTGGATGGACGGTATCTCACCCAGCCTTGGGCACTCGCAGTACGGCATCTGTATGATTCATGTCCCACAAGCGTCTGTTCCTCGCCGCTGACTTTAAGAGCAGGCTGGCGGGACTAGCTCCGACGGAGGAGTCTGCCCCAGACACACCGCTGCTTCTTCAGACACATCCCACTTGCCGTGGCAGACCCAGAAAGTGTACCTGGGGGCTTTCTTTTATTAACCGATATCCTGATGGAGACTTCTGATACAAGGTCACTTTTTCTCTGTGTCGTGTGATATTTATTTGGGATAGTAAAACTACACGATATTCTAGAAATTACTTACTAGGGCAGATTATATCTTTCTTTTCAGGGCTTCTCTGTCACTTTTCCACTTAATGGAACTTTTTTTGTCCACCAAAAAGGAAATCACAGTAATGATTTGTTTGGTTCTGAAGAGGAGAAACAGAAAAAAAGAGAGGAAACTTTTCTATGCTGTTTAAAACTTGTACCCTCCAAACTAGGTACATATCTAGGTGTATTTTTGAAGGAAGACCTTTGCCAATATCTTTTCTCTCAGGTAATATTTTTATTGCATGACCTTGGCATTTTCTGTGACTATTCATCCTCTGAAATATTTCAGTTGTAGTCCTATGTCCTGTTTTCAGCTGGGATGGAGTTAATTTTCTGCTCAGTAACTGGTACAGTGCTGTGTTTTGGATTTAGTATGAGAATACTGTTGATAACACCCTGATGTTTTAGTTGTTGCTAAGTAGTGCTTATCGTAAGTCAAGGACTTTTCAGTTTCCACTGCTCTGCCAGCAAGGAGGTGCACAAGGAGCTGGGAGGGAGCACGGCCAGGACAGGTGACCCCAACCAGCCAAAGGGATATTCCATACCATGGAACGGCATGGCCAGTATAGAAACTGGGGGAATTGGCCGGGAGGGGCCGATCGCTGCTTGGGGATCACTGCTCTGGCAATCGTCAGCAGGTGGTGAGCAACTGCATTGCACATCACTTGTCTTTTCTTGGGTTTTATTCTTTTGTTATATTCCTTTACGTTTTATTTTATTTTTATTTTTAGTATTATATTTTAGTTTAGTTATTAAACTGTTCTCATCTCAACCCACCAGTTTTACTTTTTTTTTTTTTAATTCTCCTCCCCATTCCACTGGGAGGGGGAAGGAGTGAGCAAGCGACTGCATGGTGCTTAGTTGCTGGCTGGGGTTAAACCACAACAAGTCATAGACTTCAAAACCAGAAATGACAGTAAAATATATCATGCTGGTGACTCCTTATCTGATGTAAAAAATGTCCTCAACTGCTTTTAGAGTAACGGTGTGGATCATGTAGCAATATTACACCTAAATGCTTATATCAACACCTTTGTTCATCGGGAGGTTCACAGAGGAGGGTTGTAGCTCAGTGTGAAAGAAAAAAGTAGTTGGACATGTTAAAAGGTCAAAATTTCTACTGTTACTAGTGTCATTTAAGTCATCCAAAATATTTCCTAAAGATTTCTTAACTAAGGTCTTTGTGCCTAATCTCCTAATTGTCTTTTGCAATGTGGGGCCTCTTAACTCATAGGTAGGAAACAATTATTTACTTTTTTCTGTAGTTTGTTGAATTTTATCCAGTTACTGCTGCCCTAAGACCAATCACTTGTGTTTAGTGTATATCTTCCATATGGAAGGATGAGGATGCTCCAGCTCCGTAAATAGTTTGGTGCAGCTGCCAACCAACCTTCCTTGAAGAGGAAGGTATCCCTTATTTTTGGTTTGTATTTCCCCTGGCCTGATTTGCGAGCTGCTGGTGTCTGCTGCTGCTTTTTTTGTTAGATAAACAAGCCTTGCACCAATGGTTGCTACATATAAGGACATTTAACATACTGTAATCAAGTCATTGCTGATTAAAATTTGAAAACTTGGTAACTAAACCATAGAATCTCACTTCATTAAGTTCTTTGGTCATTCTAATTGCCTTTCTCTGCCTCTTACCCTATTTTTTTTTCCAGTTACAATTAAGTTGTATAGCATTTACTTCTTCTCTTGTACTCGAAAAGGCACCGCCTTCCTAGTTAACGTTATTTGTGATCAGGGCACAAGATACTGAGATTCTTGCAATTACAGATGCATTTTCATGATAAATTTATGCTTTGAAACAGTAGTTAATTTTTGAACCAAAATATTTGTAATAGAAGTTCTCAGCACTTTCAGTGTTGCTTCCTTTTGATCTGAATTTGCATCAAATTCAGAACTGATACTAGATTATGCAAACAGTCCTTTGTATTTATAAGATACGCTTTCAAAGTGTTCTCGGGATAATCATAGCAAAAAAAGCTGGGGGAAAAAAAAAGGTAAATGAAGCTAAGAACTTTCTTTTATATGCAAAAGAATTTTTCAGATTAGCTAGTCAAGTTCTGGAATTGATAAGGCAGAAAAAATGGTGCCAGTTTCCATCAAACAATACCAGTAAATTGTTGATGGCTTTTTTAATATCCTCAGTTACTAATATAATTAGAAGATTTTAAGGAAAAATATTGAACAAATTAAAGTGATCAGACATGGTACCTTCAGCAAACCCAGTCAGGAAGGAGCAAAATATTTCCATGTAAAATAAGATTTCAGACAAGAAACAGCTATTAATTGCATGGAAGATCCAAGCAATAAGAGAGCTGACATGTTCCTAGTCTTTATTAGGCTTTATTGAACTTTGGTTAGCCACATTTAGTAGACTTAATGCAGCCAAAAGCAAGGTCCCATATCTAAAAGCAAAGACTACAGACCATACCCAAACATAAGGCTACTTGTAGCCTTGAAATCAAAGATTTTGAAAATGATGTGGGAGATGAATAGCACTAGGTAGCGGTGCATTGAGGACAAAAGGATGTGTATTTTTTTACTACTATGGCAATGAAAATAGAATTTTACCTGTGTTTGCAGGGCTGATGTGACCACTACTGGAAAAACTGCATCCAGTTTACAAAATAAGCCAAGCCATGAAGATAGAAGGCAAATACTCCTATAAAAGTCTAAAGCAATGCTCTTCTCAGCTTGACAAACAGGAAACCTAGCTATCAAAATGACATCTAATGGTGATGAAACTGATAGCTAGGTATGGGCACACACAGGTTTGGAAAAGGAACTAAAATTTCTAAGTGTGGTTTTGCTGCCTACAACTTAGAAATGAGTGACGGGGTTCTTGAAGGAGAAACTGAAGGAGGCAGCGGAGTGCCGGATACCTGTGGTCTGACTTACAGCGGCCCTGGAACAACCTCTGCACAATGAGAATGAGCAGATGGAAAAGGTCAAATACGGCAGGCAAAAACGGGAGCTGTGTGTGCCTGGTGCGATAAGGACTGCAGCCAGAGTGCCTGCCCAGTGCGTGAAGTCAGCCAGGTGAGGAGTACATGATGACTGCCTAAAACATGATGCAGGATAACCTGTAACATGAAGCATAGGTTCAAAGTGATCAAATTGTTAGAAGGAAAAGCAAATTGCAAGCAGCTGGATTGCTTGGACTTCACAGGGCACTCTCATCACCTCACCAGAGGACCACTAAAGGAGCACGGGTGGCTGGACAAGGCTGAGATAAGGGTGTTCTCCGCAAAAGTGGGATCAGAAAGAGTTCTTGGAGTGGCCCACTGTGGGCAGAGGGTAAGTGGGTGCATTTTGGAGATGCCGGCAGTGCATTAGCATCTGTGATGGTCCAGTAATTTGCAACGCACCATTAGTGCAGTGGTTAGAAGGAGAGGTGGGCTCTGGAAAGAGTAGCTAATCAGATGACACAATTCTTCCTATGGATATTGAGGTAGATCCAGCAAAAGCTCTGAAAAACATTCTCAGGGTCTAGAAAATGCACAATATGAAAACATCCTGAGCAAGCAAATACTTCAAATTACATTATTAATGAATGACTGCCAGAAATATACTCAATATCTACTGATTTCAGATTAAATTTTAAGTTAAGCTTATGCTTTAGCACTTCCCTAAAGAGGAATGAATTCCTGAATTTGGGACTGACAAAATCTAAGTTTTTCAGAAGAGAGTTAAGTCATGACTTTGGTAAGATCTAACCTGTAAATACAAGCTTAACCAGATGAAGTGATTGGAACGTGAGGCAAGCAAAACTTAAAATAGAACGGCAGCATCGTTCGAACTTTTTAAAACATGGACAATTGACTATTTACCAAGGGCTGTGAAAATTCTCCGGTGCCTGTAGGTCTTTCAAACAAATGTGTCTTTCTTCAACCATAATGCTAACAGATGGGTGACACTTCTTGCCTGGAATATGCTGAATGGTATAA